AAAATGAATATGAAATAATAAAAGAAAAAAATAAAGTTTCAAAATTTGTGAAAAATAAAAAATAAAATTGATTTTTTTCAAAAGCTTTGATATTCATTTTGGGGGAGTGGGAGTGCTGAGAGAAAGAAAGATTGGGAAATGAGAAGAATGATTATAAATGAAAATTTTGGAAAAACTGGTTTTCAGATGGCTTCAAAAAGCTGTTGAGTGGGGCATTCAGCAGCCCACATTGCAGCAAAGCACTAGAATTTACTGTTTTGGCTCCAATCTGGACCACCAACTTGGCTAAACCTTTTTTGGTTCCAATTTTTTTAATTTATAATCATTCTTCCCACGTTCCATTCTTTCTTTCTCTCAGCACTCCCAGTCCCCCAAAATGAATATCAAAGCTTTTGAAAAAAATCGATTTTATTTTTTATTTTTCACAAATTTTCAAACTTTATTTTTTGCTTCTATTATTTCATATTCATTTTTTGGGAGCTATTATGCACCACCTGCCCAACTCTCATGAATTCAAGTTTGTGCTTGGAAGCTCTGGAATCCAAAATAAGCAGCCACTTTTCACTGTCTACCCACTGTACCTACAGGCCAGCTAAAATCACTCTTTCTTGTCTTCCCTGGAGCTAAATTCCCTCAAATTTGTCTATAAAAGGAGGCTCTCTTCCCCCCCATTTGTTGTCTCCTCACTCATCTACTCATTAGTCACTCAATCACTCAGCAAGTTACAGCACAAATTATTACACAACCTTATATCAGCCTTTCACCTGTTACATAACATAACAGTTTCTTTTATCAGCAATTATACATTCAACCTTTACTTTTCGTCAAACAAAGTTTTTGCCGGAACCGACCAATCCTATCACGTTATTAAAACTTTCTAAAGAGTTTTGATTGATTGCCTAAAAACTAAAACCAGAACTAAAGAAAAAAAAAAAAAAAGAAAAACATTAGGAAGATCAAAGAGAAGAGATGAAGAGAAAAAAGACATAAAGAAAAAAAAGCATGCGGTTGTACTGGGCGACTGAGTAATAATGAGGACTATTCAGAGTGAAGACAGAAGGACAGAGAGATCAAGAACTGAGCAAAAAAGGAATAAAAAAGAGAAGAAATCAGTTAAGTTCTTTTGACAACAAACAAAGACAAGAAAGAAATGAGAAAACAAACGGTAAGGAGAAAGTGTTTGAATTCAACACAGAAGTGAAAAGAGACAAAGGAATCGGGAGCGCTCAGTCTGAGTTGGAACAAGAAATAGAGAAAGGAGAAGAAGGAAACAGGGTCAGGATTAGGTTTGATCAAGGGAGGTTTGCCAAGATTCTCTACTTTACAAGTGTCGTTCCTAAAGGTAGTTTGAGAGTGCTTGAGGTCGATGACAAAGTAGTTGAACTTGAGGATGAACCGAGAGATTGTTGATTCTAGGACGGTTGAGGAGAGAGAACAGAGAGCGTAATGGTGGTTTTTCAGGGACGGTAGGTTAACCAACAGTGGGCCACTACACTACACTACGCTATTTGACCACTAACTGTTAGTGTAGTGGCCTTTTTATTTCCTGGAAATTCTGTAGTGTTAGCTGACGCTAAACCCCACTACACTAACTGTTAGTGTAGTGTAAATTTTTCTCTCAATTTTTTTGGTAGTGTTAGCTTCAAATAATCTCAGCTAAACTAACAGGTAGTGTAACTTTTTTTGCGCTAACAAAATTTTGACTGTCAGATAGTGTAACTAATTTGAATCTAAAATTTAGTGTAACTTATACCAAATTAAGCTACGCTACACTACACTACATGCCTAGTTACGCTATGCTACAGTAGAAGTTACACTACACATGTACTGTAGTGTAAATCATCAATTAGAGAAATTGACATGTCAAGTGAGAATTTATGCTCTTGAACCCTCTTCCTCTGCTTTCTGTTTTCAATGGACAAGTCGCGTGAACTGTCCATATAACTGATACGGCCGAGGTCCATAGTGACAATTTTCAATGTCCTATGATCACACACAATCCCACAGAAAATTAACAGCACAAGATGCAGAGACAAACAAACAGAGGATGTGCCTGGTGAGATTTGAACTCACAACCTCAGCAATGCTGAGTCACATACCAGAGTGCTTCCTTTACCAACTAGCACAGCCCGCAAGCAGGTGACGTAATTCAAATTTTTTCACTTCGCTTTGCGGGTGCGCAGTCACTGCAGAAGTGACAAAATCCAAATTTCGTCACCTGCTTGCGGGCCTTGTAGGCTACAGACCCTTGTGGTTGTAAGGTTATTTGGGTGGTAGTTGCCATGGTTCATGCCAACAGCTGCACCACACTCTGGTGATACATCATGGTTACACCTCAACCCCCCCCCCTTGCTACATGATGTGAAAGTGGAAATTGAACAAGCATGGGAATGGAACCCAGTAAAGTATGATCTGAGGGGGAATTGAACCCATAATCTCAAGGTAGTCTGACAGGGGAATGTGGTCTTACAAGTAAGTGTTAAAAATTGGCAGGGGGCTAAAATTGAGTGGCCCCCATTACCAACTGAAAAAAAATGATGATCAATTGAGGGGATCTGGATGTAGGCCCCCAATCAGGCACTGTCTTCAGGGTATACTAATGCTAGTCATGTGGTCATGTAGATTTTAATCAGTTACGCTAACAGTTAGTGTAACTTTTTCACCAGTTACGCTAACAGTTAGTGTAACTGAGGGTACCACTACACTAACTGTTAGTTTAACTTTGCAAAAAGCTACACTAACTGTTAGTGTAACTTTGCAAAAAGCTACACTAACATGTAGTGTAGTGGGTTCACCCACTAACACAACTAAAACTTCACGAACAGGATTTTGGGTAGTGTTAGTTGTGCCTTTTTAAAGATAGCTAACACTACGCTAAAGTTTTTTTTGTTTTTTCAAAAATCCTGTAGTGTTAGTGGGCCAAAAATTCCCGCTAACGGTAACTTTTGTGTAGTGTAGCTTAAAAAGCTAACACTACGCTGCACTAACACTACGGTTAGTGTAACTGGCCCACCGTTGGGTTAACCCTAAGCGGTTGAACCGTCAGTGCCGCAGTCCGTATGATGAAGAGTAGGTTGCGCAGGGTTTAGCTGCAAGAGCAAATAAGCAAAAACTCAACACTTTCCAAGCTAAGCTTGGGGGTCTTGTTTCTGATAGTATAGAAGGGCAGAGTTTGCACCTCCATTTTTCCCCTTCTCAATTCAGCAAAAGGGATTCACAACCACTTTTGAGTCTTACACCGACGAGCTGGTACAAAAGCTAGGGAGCTGATTTACTCATATTTCATGCCTTCCTGAGTCATCAAATCAATTACATCTTCAATTAATTGAACTGCTTCTGCCCCTCCAATGGATCCAGCACTCCATGCACTGAGGGTTGCCTTCAAAGAGTTAATCCAAGTGATACAATGATCCGACTCTTGTACCCAATGTCAATCAAGTGAACAAATTGTACATGTACAATTAAATCCATAAGTTTGATGGAGGAAAGATCTGGCAAGAGGTAAAGCAAATTTTTTTTGTGAGCGTTTCTTGTTCTTGAAAAGCAACTATATCTAACATTGGGGAAGGAGCAGCAACAAAGCAAAAAAAAATCTTAACTGTCTGTCATTCCGCGGTAGTTTGGAGTCAAAGTAAGTTATAAAGATTTCTTCTCCAGGTTTGATTACTTTCGTCACATGTACATACTACCTCTTGCCCTTCATTCTCTCTCCAGTTCTAGACCACATTGACGGCCCCGGTACATGCATGATTTAGACAAGAGATCAAAGGAAAGATGGACATATAACCACACCCTGAGCTCATACTGATTGTCTAGAGTAAGACAACAAATTGTTAATGAGACAAAGCAGTAAGTTTCAATAACAGCTTTGATCATGAATATTTGTTGGGTGCAATAGTCAAGATAATCAGTAAAAAGCTACTCAACTTGAAAGATGTCAGCCACAGAGTACATGTCACAGTACCTTTCATGTACCAAGTAACTGCAACACCTGTACTTATGTACATAAGTACTTATCCATAATGTTGATTACCTTTACCTCTTGTTATCTTATCATTATCATTAACTTATCTTATTTATCTTACATTTATCTTATCTGCTAATTACTTATCTATTAAATACATACCTGTGTTCTACATAAGTAATTATCACTTACCTTTCACTCCTTTGTCCGTGAAATACCTGTACCACAAGTTATCCCTGTCCTACAGTATTTTCACGGTCAAATATTATTACAAATAAATATGTACATGTATTAAATAGTAAGTATTAAGTGTCAATAGAATTAATACATTCAATGCATGCACTGATCACAATTATGACTACATTATTAGAGGATCTGTTAAGTACACGCATCAAGAGTTACTAGTACATTGATCAACTAGTACACAATTATGATGTCACTTACAGATCATGACAAATAATGATCAGTCACTCAATTGATGTGCTCAATCGCCTGGCCAAAGCTCCCTTGATTCTGAGCGCTCATTCTTTCCCCCCTTCAGTATTCTGGAACTTATAATCCGTGCCTCTTTCACAGATTAATCCCCAGAATATTCAGACACCAGTTAAACCAGTTAACATTTATATTGATACAGTACACGTAACCAACATAAATCTTGTCTACATTTATTGTTCTTAAGCTTCAGTACTCTTACTCAACTTATCCACAGTATTCATAGCCTTGCTGAATATTCCCATCAACAATACCTGTTAACCTTCAACTAATTTTGTTAAAGCTTAATAAGTATTGTTAGCCCATTCCCTTTTGGGAATAACCAAATCAATCACAGGTGAGTCTTAGTACCCTGGATGCCTATTCATACCTTGTATTGATCCGGATGCGCTGTTGATAGCAAGCCTCTCAGTAAAGACCATACTGATAGAGTGAAACCTCCTCTTTACAGGACTGGTATTAATCACCCACTACCTAACACTCACCACGCTCAAAAACTTCAGTCAACTCATAGTAACAACCTTTTTACTATTAAATACTCAGGTTAGTTACCCAGAGGCTGACAAAAGATCCCTGAATATTTGTTTAATCGGATTTCGCTTTGATTCTCCCAAACTTTCGAGAGACCTAAGAAGCAATTACAATCTTCTCCACTGAGCTCTTGAGCGGCTTGTTCTACCTTACGACTTGCTCTCCCAAGCGTAGTTGGGCCAAGTTTGATCTTGACCAGCGGTGCTTCTTTCATGATCAGTTCTCCTGTTGAGGTAATCAGATCATGAGTCATACCCCAAATTGATAGGGTCAGTTTAACACAACTATAAGAGCAAATTGAGAAGCAGCTCATCAATCTGACCAGGTAAGATCTGTCTTGTTGCGATAAACCCATAGCTGCCTCCTTGGTTGGACATTGGAAAAACCTTCCAGGCCAATACGTTTGGGGCACGTTGTGATGAGTGCTGCTTGAGGATGTGATCTTGATTGTTACGAGCTGAATTATCTACCGGGCACGTTGTGATGAGTGCTGCTTGAGGATGTGATCTTGATTGTTACAAGCTGAATTATCTATCTACCAGCTTGTTGGGAGGGGTTCCTCCCGACGAGCTGGTTTTCAAACCAGCTTTTCAGAAGGTATTCCTTCCGACAAGCTGGCATGTACACCAGCTTATTGGGAGGGGTTCCTCACGGAGAGCTGGTTTTTACACCAGCTTGTTGGAAGGGATTCCTTCTGACGAGCTGGAATGTACACCGGCTCACCGGGAGTGGTTCCTCCCGGCGATGTGACCTCGGCCTCTCTAGGCCAAGGGGGTTTGAAAAAAAAATTGATGGGGCCGTCCCATAGGACCCATGCCTCGGTTCTATGGGACAGCCCAGGTCCTAAACGCATATAAATATGCGTTTAGGACCGCATATTGGGTGTGCAGGCAGGCAAACCAACCTGCAGGGTATACCCCCTGCAGGCGAGTGGCGTGCCTGCCTGCACGCCATTCTGCAATGGTGTGCAGGCGCACACGCCAATCTGAAGCTGGCGTGCGCAAGGGGGGTTGGCTTGCGCTAATCAACCCCCTGGAGGAAATGGTTTACAGATGGCTTTAAACAGCTGTTGAGTGGGGCATTCACCAGCCCACATTGCAGTAAAGCAATAGAATTTACTGTTTCGGCTCAAATCTGGACAACCAACCTGTCTCAACATTTTTTGGTTCCAATTTCTTTCATTCATAATCATTCTTCCCATGTTCCAATCTTCATTTCTCTCAGAAATCCCACTTGCCCAAAATGAAATCTCAAAGATTTTGAAAAAAACAACAACTTTAATTTTAATTTTTCACAAATTTTGGAACTTTGTTTTTTGTTTTTATTTTTTTAAATTCATTTTTTGGGACCTATTCTCCACTGCTTGACCAAGTCTCTGCTAAATTTTAAACAACTAAGAGCAATTATTATTGGTTAGATAACGGTTCTTATAGTGCTTTGTATGTACAGTCTCCTACCAGATGTTTATAGCCATCTGTTTTGAGCTCCACACCTGGAACCCAAAAACTTCAAGTCACAAGAGTTGGTGGAATGGTGGAAAATGGGTCTCGAAGAATGAATATGAAAAAATAATAATGATAAACAAGATTACAAAATTTGTAAAAGGTAAAAAGGAGAAAATCACAAAAACTGACAGCTCTAATATTTCTTTCAGGAAAAGATGAACTCTCCAAATTGATAGTATGAGATCTTGAATGAATAATAAGAAGTGAAAATTTGGAAAAAAATGACTACTTGGTGGTTTAAAAAGGGTGCCTAGGGGGTCATTCATCAAGAAATGTGGCATTCTGGTACTGCAATCTACTGATTTTGACTGCAGGGTGTCCACCCACCATGCTGAAACTTTTTTTGGATCAATATTTTTGATTTATAATCATTCTTTTCATGTTCCAAACTTGCCTTCTGTGTGTTCACTTTTCACTCAAACAAAAAAAGTTGATTTTCTTTTATCTTTTTTCACAAATTTTGAAATCTTGATTTTTATTATTATTTTTTCATATTCATTCTTTGAAACCCATTTTCCACCATTCCACAAACTTTTGTGACTCAAAGTTTTTAGGTTCCCACTGTGGAGCTCAAAACAGATGGCTATAAACATCTGGTAGGAGACTGTACAATAGTTTTGAGGGAAATGTAAAAGAACCAAAATGTACCTAAGAGCAGAACAATTTGTTGTGCTTCTTGGCTAAGTAAAAAATCTGTTTTGGTGTTGCCCACAACAGTTGGTTGAGAAGATAGATTGGAATGAGAGAAGAGATAGATGAGGAAGATAGTGGTGAATGTTTTCTACATGGAAACAGCATTAGTGGATTGTCAGCATTTGCTTGTCTTATTCAGCTACCAACGCTGGGCCGCTAAGCTACGCTACGCTAAAGGGCCACTTAGCGTTAGCGTAGCGGCGCAAAAACAGGCCCTTTTTTCTGTAGTGTTAGTGTGCCGCTACCGCTGCTACGCTACGCTGTAGCCCCGCTAACAGGCGGCATGTTTTTGGGTAGTGCTAGCGCATCGCTACAGCCGCTGTAAAGCTCAAAAGTGTTTGTGAAAACCTTTTGCTGAGTGTGGAAAGGGATGAATGAGGATACCTCTGCCTTTCCTGGATCACTAGACACTAGACAAGCCCACCAATCTCAGATTGGAAGGTTTAATAAAGTGATAGTGGAGTGTATCAAAAGATAACTGTGGCTTAACAGGTGGACAAAGGGTTTAACCCAGTTTTATAAGGGTCTAAAGGTTGATTTGAGAGTGAGAGAGTGAGTCTAGCTGATATTTCAATGGTAAGGGGATGGTATGTAATGGTATGTAAGGTTTGTGTAATGGTAGGGGGTATGAAATAGGTGGATACTAAACTGAGGGGAAAACAACTCAGAGGAGAGCCTCTTAAATACACAAAGGTGAGGGATTTTAGCTTCAGGGGAACAAGATAATGAGAGATTTTAGCTGGCCAGAGCTTTGCAATGAGGGGATTTAGCTAGTCAGAACATGTACATGAGGTATTTTGGCTGGTTGAGCAACCTACATGATGTCATAAGAGTTATCTAGCTTGAACTAGAAATCTACATGAGGTGATGTACTAGTCTGCAAGCTAAGTTGAGGTGATGAGTATTACATGAGTGGTGTGAGATAGTCTGACAGCTGCAAGGAAGATTAACAAGTGACATAACAACCTGCATGATGTCACTTGTAAATTCAGAGTGGTACCAGACCAACACTGCATGTGTCAACTGTCAGAAGATAGTGGAGTGGTGTGTATACATGTACTATAATGGTGTGAGAGTGTATGTAGTTGTCCTGCAATGTACATATGTATAGTGTGAGTTATGTAATTTGTTGGTGTTGTTGAGTGTTGTAGTGTTGCCATGGTGGTGAGTTGTGTAATTGAGTGTAGTGATGGTCCAGAGAGTGTAGCTTCCAATCCAGTTGAGTTCCAGTGACGCCTCCAGTGGTGACCAAGGGTGAAATTGACCGTAGAATCCAGTTCTTGAGTCATATTGGGTGATTTGTGAGTGTATATATGAGAAAAAAGGTGTAATTGTGTAATAAAAGAAAGAACAGTATAAAATTTTTAAATGGGCCAGATGGCTACCCTTAAGGTATACCACACCGCTGCACTGTGTTACGCTGCGCTACAGCGCTTTTAGCTGCAAAAAAGGCAAAAAACCCGCTAAAAAGCCCTGTAGCGCGGCGTAGCGGGCACTTTTTTGTGCCCTGAGCGCGTAGCGTTAGCGCAATTCCGACTTTCTGCGCTAACGCTACGCTAACAGCTAACGCACTTTTGTGCCCTTTGCGCGTAGCGTTAGCGAAGAAAGGTGGATTTTTCGCTAACGCTACGCTACAAAGTAGTGCATTTCCGCTGCGCTACGCCACGCTAACGCTACGGTTAGCGTAGCTGGCCCAGCGTTGCAGCTACTATTGCCTGGATATTATTTACTTTTAGTGTTTTGATACGAGATATTGTTTCTGGTCCTTGAGGTCTACAACAGTGTTCTGGATTTGGATAGTGATCTGTTTTGGTTGCACATTCAAGTTTAGTGCCAATCCTCATCCCCTGTCTAATTTTCCAACAACAAACTTACTTGCTGCTTTCTTGTATTATTCTAGTGAGTAGTGTTGGTCCGGTTGGGTTGCTGATTCTATGTGCTATGGAGCCGTGAACAGAGGCGAGTGGTGAGTGCTGGTGATCACTTGATCTGATGGGAGAGCCTGGTTATATACTCACAAAGATGCTGTGCTGCACTTCTCATTGCCCTTGCTTTTGCTGTTGTCCTTGGCAACTGGTTTCAGTTGGCTTTGGTCCTGAGGGCTGTGGCAATGTGTCTTGCTGCTTGGTTCTGAAACAAAGAATGCTGTTGTGAGTTTCATGTCAGGAATATCCTGAGTGCTACATGAATCAACTCACTTTGGGTTGTGTCATCACATGTCTTGTTCTTGTAACGTTTGGTTACTGTTTCAGCCCTGAGGGGCTTATTCTGACAGTCTCATGACATCAATTTTAGATTTCAGAGCTCTGGAATCCAAAATAAGCAGCCACTTTTCAATTTCTACCCACTGTACCATAGCACATCAGTGGAGGATCCAGATTTTCAGTGCAAACCCCAAAATGAATTTTGGTTGGAAAAAATTAAAATTAAAAGTGGCTGGGGTGCTATGGCACAGACCCTAAGTGTTTATAAATCTGTTTTTTTTTGTTCAAATAAGGATTGTACAAATGAAGAAATCAAATTTTCTTTGAAAATTATATTTCCTCCTGCAAGCCAATCAGTCTGTTAAAGCTGTGTTACGGGGTGATTTCCTCCCATTAGATCAGGCTTTTTAAAGTCAGCCTGGGTGGTGGTGGGGGGGGGGGGCTGAGAAAAATTTCCTAGTTGATTAGTCTGTACTGGGTTTTATCTGGGAGATCTCTCCAGTGAACCAGGTTTTCAAAACTGTAGTTCACTCATAGGGGCTTCCTCTGAGCTTCACAATGTTTTGGTTGGAGCACTGCCCAGATGGAGATCCTGTGGGGCTTGTCTCATCAAAGGACTTTGTTCTTGCAAATTGAAGTGTCTCATCTCCACTGGCATCTTTGGGTCTGAAATTTTGTATCTCCAATCAAGTCAGACTGCCTTGATATGACTTGAGATTGAATGTCTCAAAAGATGTAAGTGTTGAGGAAATTGCAGTGCATAAATAATTAGTCTAGTTGGTATAATTATGTATGCATCTAAACCAATCAAGCTTGGACCTGATTTAAGACCCGCAGACAACTTGGAACAACTCTTTTATTTCAAAGCAAACAGGTTCCAAACTCCCCACTCCTCCTTCAAAAGAAAAACAAACATCAGTCTTTTCAAACCAATTTTCTCTATCAAGTATGAACCTCTGCACTATGTCTGCCACAGTATTGCTAATTTTGGTAAGTGTTTCTTGGACCTTTCTTCAAAAACTGGTGTGGCTCTGAATTAATGAACCTACAATGTGATTTACAGAAGCTGGTGGCTACCAACTTGGCAATGAATGTTCCCCAGTCTTCAGAGCGACTTGGGTTCCGGAAAATCAACCCCAACTTGAGAAATCAAGAGTCAAAGTACCCATTGGGTGAAGGGACTTCAATAAGTCAACTAAGGTGTCAATTGGCTCACTCTGCAAGGTATGATGTAAGTACTGCTTTCACTTCTCATTGGAGGGATCAAGTTACTCATTCACTTTGTATTAATGTTTGTGTATTTTTAGTGGGAGGGACCTCACAATAGCCATCAGGACCTTGAAATGGGCCTTGCAGCAAGCTCTAGTTCTTCTCATGAAATGCAACCAATCCAAACCTCAAAAGAATCAAAAAGTCTTGGAGCTCTCAAGCCTGAAAAAGAGGACTGTGCAATATGTCTGGAGGAGATGAAGGCTGATACTGATGAGGTCTTTCCATGGCCAGAGTGTGGCCACACTTATCACAAAATCTGCATCCAACCACTAGTAGATTCTAAGGGAAATTGTCCCAAATGTAGGGCTCCATTTCCAAGAGAAATTTCCACAACAGACCAGGTTTCAGTTCCGCCTACCAACATTGTACAACGTGTTTGGACTGCACTTGACTTGCGTACATCCAAAGGCCGTTTCTTATGCTTCCTCATCTTCATTGAGTGTGCCTTCCTCTCCTTGCTCTTTCATGCCATGATTTCAGCCTCCCCAACCCGTCAGTCCACTCATGCCCCAGCCCCCAAATCACCATTCTTTTAATTTTTTTGTTTTGATTGATTATACATGTCAGGTTGAACATTCACACAACTGTCCAAGATTTTTCCTTTTCTGTTGGGAAATTACATGAAGTGTGAATTAGGAACTTGATATCTAAAATTCATGACGTTGTCTACTCCACCTGCCTCCTTTTCAGCCTTCCAAATGTACTATACCATTAATTTTGGGACGCTGACCTGCCCCAAAATCTTATGTTTTCTGAATCTGTTTCTGTCCTGTTGATCTGTTTGGAAAAAGCTTTTTTTTGCCACAGGTTTTTTTTTTCTTTCATTAATTGTCTATGCAGTATGCATAGTCCATACTCTGGACTGAGCTCTAATTTCTCATATCATCCCAAGGAAATCAAATCATTGATCAAGTTTTACCTCTTGATTGCCTTTATAAGAATCCTGTAGTCTTTTGTCACTGATGCGTCTAGCTGTTCACCCATCAGCCTTTGTGTAATGAGCCTGGATTGATAAGATTTCTGTGTGATGAACCATGTGATGAGATGAGTGACAGGATGATGAAGCGAAGAGAAACAGAACTGATTATGAAGGCTGATCATGGGTCGTCAAGGTTTTCTCCCACTTGTTTAAAGAAACTGCTACCACTTTATAGAAAACTTTTGAAAGGGAACCGAAGGAAAGATTAAAATTAAATTGTCTGTTGGTTGCAGTTGCAGTTGCAGTTGTTGGGTTGTTGGGTTCGAGAAGGATGAAACATGCTGCAAGGGCTTCATAGAGCATGGCCGAGCAGCCAAGAGTCGACGTTGATACAGAAAAAAAAAAGATACAGACCATACAGCAACAACAACAAAAAGTATCTGATCGAGTTAGTGTTTCCTCCATAGACTGCTGAAGCTCGTTGATCTTGAATTTTGATAAATTTTTAATTGCAAGGTTGGCGTTTGCAGTCTTCTCCCAATCAAATTACCCCCACTCGAATTATTTCCACAGGCCCAGCAGCAGCAAGACAGACAGGCGGAGGAGGACTTGACAGACTGAAAGCAGGAGCGACGATGCCTTCTCTATCTCGACTGACTCGGAGCTACGAACGAGCCTTCAAACATCATCCCTCACTCACCTTGGCCATCACCAACGGATGTCTCAAGGTAAACTAAAAACTCAAACTACATAATCTTCTTGATCTGTCTATACATGTGAACTAATTATCTTTTTTTTTTCTTCCTTTTTTGGTCAACAGTGTCTCGGCGACTTCTTGGCCCAATATCTACCGGCTTTCGTCAGTCAAGATTATCGTTATCTATCTTCCCTAATTCCTGCATATTGGAGGACTTCCCGTCGGATCTGGGAGCCTCGCAGTTTCCGATTTAGACCCAAAAAGTCTAGATTTTTGCAGGGAAATCTAGCTTTTTCGGCTCTAAATCGAAACTGGGAGCCCCGCAGATGTTGACGGGAAGTCATCCATTACCCTGCATATATGTGTCCTACATATGTAGAGTGATCTTATTCATGCAGTATGTACTCAATCGGAGTTTTTTTTTTTTTTGTTGTGGGTCTGCATAGTCTTCCGGTCAACCATTCGTCTTGGACATCCATCGGTCGTTGCGGTTCTTCCTCTTCGGATTCCTTCATGGTATGTACACACACACTCACATACCAAAATCAATAACTCGCTTCTCATCAAAACCACTAACATGAGGAAATATTGCTTGTGTACTTTCTATAGGGCCGTGTGTTGGGAAATGGCATGAAGTATGTCGACCGATTCTTTTGTGTTCACAAAGTCACAAAAAAAAAAAAGATGACGATCCAAAAAAAAAACCAAGACGAATAAAAAACCCATTCTAGAAATGACAGCAGCGACTAACGGAAGACCAACCAAATGTCCGAATGATAGTTTCTAGAGCGACGGATACCATTAACCGGAGGCCGAGCGACCAGTAATAATGGAGTGACTGAGCCGGGGGCGACTCCGGAGATGGAGCAAGAAGATTTACGACTGATCGAGACGGAGAAATCGCTGACGAGTCATCGGCCGATCTCGATCCGGAGCCGATCGACCACCGGACCAGAACACCATCCTGGCCCGCTCAGAGGCCTCTCTAACTCCGACGCCCCACTCTCCTCCTTCCCTCACAACAACAATCAGCATCTTACTGGTTTGAGTAAACTCGGTAATCCGACTAGGGCGGCCGCTACCGGTTTCAGAGTCTTCGGCCTCCTCAAACGTATCCTGTTGGATCAGTTGCTTATGTTCGTCTTCCTTCCTCCTTACTTTTTTCTTAGCATCCCTTTCTGAAACTATTCTTTCCACCAAAAAAAAATGTTATTATAGGGCTCCTATATATACCTTCCGTAAGCGCCTTCCTTCGCTCCAACCAACCACACACTTCTCGCTTTTTGGGTGAAAAGAAAGAGAATGAAAAAACTCATGAATGTGACTATTGGTATATAGTCTTCATTTCGTTGACGGGTTGGTTCGAAGGTTTAAGTATCCCTGAAATCCAGCAAAGATTGCGCCAACTATATTGGTTCCTATTGACTGCTAATTGGAAGGTATACATCTTACGCCCTTTGTTTGGAATCAAGATATCATTGGCGGCTGATCATTTCTTGAATCCTCCTTCTTGGTCATAAATAAATCGGTATAGATTTGGCCGCTTATTCAGATCTTTAATTTCAGCTTCATGCCTCTCCAGTCAGTTTTTTCTTTTTCATCAAATCTCCTTTCTGTCGTGATCATTGCGTTTGCTTTCCAGGTTCATAAACACCTTAGATTTTTCATGAACTGACATGTTTTTTTTTCGGATTTGGTTTGGAATTTCAGATACCGAGTGTAAGCAAAACTTCTCCTAATCTTAATTATTCCGGAAGGCTTAACGGAGGAAGAATGAAGAAGCAAGCAAGAGAATGAATCGATTTCTTTGCCCACATAACTGATGATGAACTTGTGTTTGATCCAGACCATGGCAAGGCTCATGCGGAGTGTTATGGACGGTTTTCCTAAGTCTGAGCACCCATTCCTCGACGCATTACAGCAGCAGTACGACCACAGTCGATCCAACCGGCCCAACACTCGTCGCTTCTACACTCTCTAAACTGTTCAAATCTGGCAACTCTAGCGCCTCCGATCCTCACCTCATCTCCTCTAATCATCTTGCTAACTCTTCCTCTGCCCCCTCCTCCTCCTCCTCCTCCAACGACCCCTCCTCCCCTATCAAACGCAAAAATAATCGCGTCATCGGATGACTTTTTTTTTCTTTACTCTCAACTCGTTCCCCTTCCCGTGTTTCCTATCTTCCTTTTTTTTTGACTTTCTTGGAGCGTCCACTTTTTTTTTACAAAATGGGATATAAAAAAAGGAAAGAAAACTTGATACAATTTAAATATATATATATAGACTCCACTTTTTTTAGCATTCTCTCTCTCTCTCTCTCGTAATCCCTTTAAACATGCATGTGAATAGGCCCTTTTCTCATCATTCTTATCATTTCTAAAAAAAATTCTCCTTTCTTCTGTTTATAAATCACCAAGCAGAAATCCAGATTTTCCCTCAGCTTTTTTATGTCCTTCTTTCTCCTCAAAAAAAAATATACATTCACATTTCCAGTTGTGGTTGTACTCCCAAATTACAACTATGGCCCTTTGGCCACTTGTAGGGTGATGGCACAGCAGTGCACTGGGAAGCTGATCAGCTGGTGGTCACATGTAATTGAGACCTAGGATGATGCTACCTGTAGGCTGGGGTCCTGATGATGTCCTCTCATTTATGGTCACTTATTACAAAGATATCTTTCCATCCTAAAGATCATACAACAAAGCACTGTTGTTTTTGATGGAAACTGAAAAAAATGAGAAAACCCACAAATACTAGATGTTTTTCTATTCAGTTGAGTGCGGACTCTGATTTGATTTATTTGGGACATGCAGTGTCAACTTGATAATGATATGAGGGATGACAATCCTTGGGCAAGCAAATTGATAGTCAGACCAAACATATATAGTTCCAGTCTTGGGAGCTTCAATCAGCTCTCAACACACCTTTGTTTGGTTGGCAAGTTGAATGTCACCCAAATCTGTTGGCATATATCAAGGGAAGAGCTTTAAAATTGGTGTTGGTTGTGAGTGTTGTTGCAATAGTTTTTGGAAAGAAATAAAAAAAATTCTCATCAGTTTCACATGAGTGAGTTTATCTTCTGGCATTGGTTGGATATGATGAGCCCACATCATGGGTCACACAAGGTCTTGAGTCAGGTATGTACAGCAGAAAATAAGATATACAGTCGATTCCTGTGTGTTGGAATTGACCCGCCCTGCTTATTGGATCAATGCAATTCATAATTGAAGTATTTGATCATGATTTCATGATCAATCTCCGAATGCAGGTGAAGGGGAACTTTTCTCATCCCAACCTCATGCAGAAACAACTCAATTTCTTTTCACTTTTGATGCCAAACCATGGACACACGAGACAAGCTACAGCATCAGGTACTATGGATTAAAATCCTTCATGGTGGGCGGTAGATCATGGACCAGCCTGTGCAGACGACAAAATATGAAAGTTTCAATTGGAATAAGGAGCGCTCATCTCGAGACCGGCTCCGGACCAAAATTTAGCCCCACTACCAGGATGTATCATGTAGTTGAGCCGCTCAGCATCGGGCTTTTGCCGGGATGTCGTCACCAAATTCTTGGTGATCAGTTTTTGAGCCCTCTCAAATACTACAAATCTAGGTTTTGTAAAAAATGATAGGTTGCAAGGAATGATAAATCTATGTAAGTGCCTCTCTATTTCACCACATGTTTGGTACAATTTGGCCTATCGTTATCAAGATACCAAAGAACAGAACAAGAGCAGTTAGAATCGCCACTTGCTCTCTTGACAGAGACCTGATAATTTGCATCATACTGCGACAAGGTTGATCAAATTGTAATTCTTCCGCTGGCAATTTTGCTGCCAGCTCTTTAGTCCATTCAACCGGACATCTACACACTGGGCAGGTGGCCTGTTTTCGTTGTTGGTTCAACCAATTATCAATGCACTCGTTGCAAAAGTTGTGTCTGCATTCTTGCCCAAAGTAGAAAACGGGATCCTGTGTTGAGGGTATAGAGTTGAGGCAAATTGAACACATTTCTGCTTCGCGTGCGTTTCCCGATAATTTGAGATCATGGGAGGCAACTTGCCCTCCATCGAATTTGAGATAATGCGGTGAGTCTTCCGAGTTACTGATCTCTGTTGGAACTTCTTTGCCCGGGCTTCTTCCCCCTGCGCCATCCTGAATCACAATCTCCTTTAGCGAGGAGTTTTCTCCCTAAAGCCGCAAACATGTGACTCGATCAATGATTCGAATTCAGTTTGGAATCACTACATACACATACAAATCACTCACTTGTAGATCCGCATTGCCAGCTGATACATGACATGATGATGAGCCATCTGAGCCACGTTGGATCACAGCTGATGGTATGTCGATTGAATGGAGTGAAGGTAAGAAGTTGGTATTTTCTTCTCGAAACTCAATCAATGATGAGCCATCAGGCAATTCTCTTGCAAAGCATACCCCAGCAAGCTATTCATTCAAACCATATGCCTTTTCAGTTCAGAGGCTCCCGCTTCTACACGTCATGAGAAAAGGGAAAAAAACCCTACCAGGAGGAGAAAAACAATGTCCATGATGAGAAAGTTTAGAACTGGATGAGGATTGATTGGTGGGCAAGGTTTCCCCAGACTGTTTCGTTTGAAACCTTTTTATAACAAAGCTTCAGCCATGCACATAACAGACGGAAGTTCAAGGGAGGCCTTCACTGGCAGTTTGCATTTATACTGCTCACTTGTGTATAAGTCAACGACATCTCTGCCGATCTCCACAGTATTGCATTGACCCACAAAAAGAATCAAGTTTTCGCTACTGCGACCAATGCAAGCCTGAGTATTTCTCATTGATTAGGCAGGATTAGGTTCGAAGGAAACGTCGCAGCAGGCCGGAAGTCAAACTATGACGAGGAGAGGAGCGGATCTGAGCGATTTCTTACAGCCATTCTTCCTCAGATCAAACACCCCCAAAATCTCTTGATGCAAATCAGAATGAATAAAGTTATGTGGACAAGCGGGACCGAGTTTGAAGTATGTATAGAATAAACACCATAATCTTGGGAGTCTTCAGGATTAAAACAAGATAGGACAAAACAGACCAACCCTAAAACTGGCTACATACTGAGCTTTGAGATGTATCATACTGATAATTATCAAGTGTTTTGGATTTTACTCTACATTTTTGCAACCACTGGCAGGCATGAAGCAATTTTCTGGACATCCTTGCACTGATATTGGATTTTCTTGGGGACAATTCAGACCTGGTTTGAATAGACTTTTTTTATGACAAGCAGCTTGACAGTGGAGGACTTCCCGTCGCGGTTTAGAGTGTTTTTTAGACTTCTCTCAGTTCCAAATTAACACTCTAATCACAAATACAACTAGCTCACATGAGGGCCTTTACTACAAGACTTCTGAAGAAAGATTTTTTTCTGCCAAAAATTAAGACCTTCATGGTGTCAATCAAATTTGGTGAGGGCCGTAAATGCCGACGGGAAGTCATCCAGTCTGAAATTTGAATTTCTATAAGAAGAGTTTTAAATATCTGGGAAGTTTTTTTTGGTACTTCCAAACAAGAAATACGGATACCTTATGCGTAGAGTGACATCATAATACTTCTTGCAGAGGATGCAATGTATTTACTTTGACATCCCATTTGAACATAAATACATGGATTCACAACTGATTGTGGCAAGGAACCATCCCTAAAAGAAATGGATTTTTCCTTTATGTTTTTAAATTTGTGGTTCATTTTGGAAACCACTATTGCATCAACACTATTAAACCATTGAATATTCACTGATTTGGTCCTTTTTTCCTTTTTAAATCAACCCTGGTTCAAAAAAATGGTTTTATATAGTTTCAATATTCACATATTAATCTCATAAGTCCTTGTAAAAATTGTTTCCAACTGACTGGGAGAATAAGCTACTAGGACACTCTGTCCCATTCCTACTTTACTTTCAACTTATTGATTAAATAATTGTCAGATAACATACACTTTCAAACCATCATTTCACTTTTTGTTATCCAGAGGGGAAAAAGGTTATTTTCAAAAGCAAGTTCTTCTTTCAAACTTCTGTCATCACATGTGACCAGTTGCTAACTCTAAGCTTTCCTGAATTCTTCAGCTTCAAAAAGCCTTTCTTTGTCATCAGGCAATTTTCTTAAATTCCCAAAAAAAGGACTTCAATTAGGCATTTTGTGCAGACATGTAGGGCAGTTTAGCTTGAGGGTTCTGATGTTGATGGATTTCAATACACTGACAGCTTCAATGGCAATTAGAATTTGGTATTTACACAGTCAGGAAAAATGGTGAAACTTGATTGAACAGAATATCTTGCAGGATTGCCATATAGTCAAATCTGTCACAGCACTGCATAAACTAACTGGTCAGACAAGCCAGTCCAAGGAGTCTTTGGACAGACTTTGTCCAAAGATTTCAGCAGCCCAGTGGTGGCGCACAACCGGACTCGTCGGGCAACGTCAGTCCAAGCACTAATTGGCTTGTCCAATGAGTGAATTTGCGCAGTGCAGGTGTGTGTCTTATTTTCATTAAACCAGATGTATGTGACAGTAGCAAACACAACATGCATGTTCTAGATAATTGTCATCTTGGAGCTGGAATGAAAACACCTCCCCTGCTTATGCAGAGAGCCTTGTGTTGTGGATTTTCTGATCAAGCCTTTTCCCACTAATAGATTGAAAAAGAATCTGGCAAACTTTCAGGATTGGTTTTTTAAGTTTGTGTTTACAGCCCATTAAGATGATCCAAAAGCAAAACTGATAGCAAACCAAGCAAACAAAGAAACTACTCGTAGAAAAACAGAGTACAAATTAAACCCCTAAACGGTTGATTGTGACTTGGAGACTGGATAAAGTAGAAATCCTGATAATCTAGCTCCGATCGAGATCGCTTTTGCTTCTTTCCAAAGATTACAGATAAATCTGAGAACGTGTTTGTACATTTGGTTGAGTACTAGATACGAAAATGAACAGCGGATGTTTTAACAGATGAATACAAGCAACAGATGTCGGTACGGATGGGGCTAGAAAGGTGTGGGTTATTTCATTAGAGTTTTCCCGGGATGGAGTTGTTTTTTCGCCCGCATTTTCCACCCTTGTCTTCAGCACTCATGGCGCATTTGGTTGCTTTTCGTGCGACCTTGTTCTTGTTCGGTTTCGGCTTTATCAATGACAGTGAATTTTCGTCTCCTCGACGGAAGTTGGGATGAGAGAATCCGGAAAAGGCAGAGGTCGAAGAGTTTGTCTGAACGTTGTCAACTTGATCAAGTAGTTTGATCGTGGGTAGACGCGTAAAGTTGTAGAGCTGGGAACAATGGTTGGCGAATCCAGTCAGCCACGCGTAAACTTTGATAATATGAGTTCAAGTTGGACAACATACATTCAATTGTCGGATAAAAGAGGACACGTTGCTGTGCCGAAAGAATTTAGGCAAGATCTGCGTGGCGAACTCGGAATTCGCTGCAAGAAAACGGCACTTTAGTCAAGATCGCAGGCTTGAATTTCAGATGCTCATGTACGCGTACCATGTGCCAAAACAAAGGCATCTCCAGGACCATTCCAACGCTATTTGGGCGAAAGTGAGGATCAGTTAGGTAAGTTATGGCGCTACCTCAGTACTTTGGATAACAGTGATTCTTACAATGTATGGTCGGTACTCCTCATGACCGCAAAGGTGGTATAATTTGCTTATGAAAGCCTGTATGATGGTACAATCAGGGTTCTGCTAGCGATGATGGATATGAGCGGTGGTTAGAACTTACCGTGCATTGAGGCGTGCCACTCGCCTCAGGCTTGGGCGCCCGCGGAATGTCAAGCACATCAGGAGAGTCACTTTTGATCAATGACATGTGGCTGTATCTGGAAGAGAGACCCGGAGACGCAAGCCGAGAGCGATTGGCAATGGGCAATAGTTCATGGGAAGACACGGGCATATTTTGTCTGCGGGATGTGGATGGCATCTGAGATCTATATCTCTGTAAATATAAGGTAGACCAGAATTGAGAGGCATCG